AATATGTATTTGTTGTTTTCTACAAAAGATTTCTACCGATAGATTCATTAGACAAAAAAAACAAAGAAAAGAAATGAAAATTAGTTCATTTATTCTCGTTTTCGAATAAAAATATAATGTGATGTATGTGTTGCCATATTATCACCAATGGCTGGATTTCCACCACCGCCAGTTGATCCTAATATCTGATAACCTAAACGAATCATTCGACCTATAACATCCATATAAACAAGTGGATGTTCATCTTTTTCAGCTGAATAATTTCCAAACCAAACAAATGCTGGTTCCTTTGCATGTGGAAGTATTTCAAGAACAAGTTCTTTCTCAGCAAATATACGATAATGTTTTGGATAAGAGACAAGAACAATAAGTGAAACAACGTCCATTCGGCCGGAAACTGAATTTTGCGATGAAGCAGCAGTGCCAGTGGAGTCTGATGATGCCATGAATGATAAGTTCCACAAATAAAACACAATGATATGAGTAAGGAATAGAGTATTATACGCGGACAAGTAACAGAAAGAAGAAAAAAAGACCGACTATGTTCTGATGATAATAATTAAGAAAATCGTAGCTCTTAGAGAAAAAAAGAACACACAAAAAAAAAGGGACAGTTTAAGTACTAACTTTATCGTACAACAAGGTCTTTCTGTTCTCTATTCGTCTTTCTTTTCGCCGCAGACCAACTGATTGACATGATGAATGACATTTTCTTTATCTGGCAACATCGTCCTATGCTGTTGTCCGTCTGTTTTCTTGCCTACCGCATTGGTTTATAACTGCTAATGGGTGTTGTTGTTATTATCATTATTATTGTGATCTCATCTTCTTTGTATAACGCACGTTTTTTGTCGTTCTCCGTTGAAAAGAGTTCCTCTTGTGTTTTTCATATTAGCATTTTTTTTCAAGACATCGATAATTATACCAAAAAAAAAAACAGAAAAATACTATTAATTATGATAATCTCGATGACACTTTTTTATTGAAGTTAAGCATCGTTTGTCTTCTTTTTTTATTTTTCTTTTGCTTTGCCATATACGTACATTATTGGATACATATTGGTTGACATTCATCGAAAAAAAATAATTTGAAAAACAAGTTTTAGTTACATCTGTCTTCATAATGTTATTTGCAGAGATCGCGCGAGGATACGAAGATTGGGGGAGGGATGGGTGCAAAGGTACTTTTTCCAACAAAACCTCATAAAAATTTGATAGAAAGTCCAAAAAATTCATTTCTATTATTGGAAAACTTTGAAAATTTCCCATTATTGGGGGAGGTGTACACTCCCCACACACCTTCCCTCCTCCTCCACCGCTTTCGCGGCTCCTGGTTATTCGAAAAAAAAGACAGACATGTCATCTATTAGACATATACATAGAGATCAAATAAAAAGAATGAAAGATCGTTTTTCAACGTGTTTTTTTTCCTTATTATAGCAAATCTATAAATCGAGCACTTGCTAGACTTTACGTTAAAGATGAAGAACTTGAATTAGCTAAAGTAAGTCTAATTTCCGTTTTTTTTTATTACTATTATTTGTCTATCATAATGTTTATAGGCTCGTCTGTTACTTTATCATATGTGCCGTCTATCACTCAAAGAAGGTCTTGAATTACTTGGTATTGAAGCATTAACTCGTATTTGATCATTTATTTGTTTGTTTTTTTGAAATAAATAAAAGTAGAACATCTTTCTTGTTGAATAAATATTAATTGTAGATAACGAAGTATAAAACAAAATAACAAAATATGCAATTTTACATAAGAATATTTAAGATAGAAAAATATAAAAAAGTCAAAAATTTTCTTATACACATATGGTAATACTAACATAGCAATAATCTTATAAATATCGACAATTAAGAAGATAAACACAGACGGAAATAGAATATGATATGATCGTTTTACCATTGGAAAATGTAGTGTCGATAAATATGTTTATTCATAAAGATGCATAAATATTGATTTCATAATTATCTTCTTTTACAGTTGAATAAACGATTTATTTTCTTATTCTAAATGTTATAATAATAATAAAAAAATTATTAAAATGTTCTTTGGTTTTTTTTTTGTTTATTGATTAGTGTTATTACATTTTTAGGATTTATATAAGAATATTTCTACATATAAATCCAGTGTAAAACTCAACAAATATAACCAATATATTAAGGTGTACATGACAAATTTTATTTGAATAGTAAATAATTAGATAAAATCTTTTTTTTCTCGTATCAACTAAAATATTTATGTATATTAACAACTGAAATTCAAAAAGAAAACAATAATTGATGATTCAATTAACTTTTAAATTTATTAAAACTTGAATGTTTGACAAATCAAATAAATAATTGTCATTTGTATTGGTGCATCAAATATGAAGACTGCATTGATTCGGTTTATATCAGAATTTATTAAAAGAAAAAAACGAATTTGTAATATATGTATACAAGAGAAAAAAAAATTTCAAGTTTATATCACTCCAAGATCTGTATAACAAAGAAATACAACGATAATAATATTACAATCAACACCTTGCATTTTAATTGTTATTGAATTATCTGTTGATGTATTCCATAAACATCTTGATGCAACATGTAATCCAGAAGAAGTTTTTGAATAAACAGTAAGACTAACAACAATTTTATATCGTTCATTATCACTACCTATTGAAGATGATAAATAAGCTTTAACTTTTGAACGTACAAGATTTCCCAATGTTGTTAATTGTGCTTTATATGTATTGTCAGAATTAAATTGCATTTGTTTCGTATGTGCATATATATGTATATCTTGTTCAATTTCATTTTTTAATTCAACCCAATTTACTGGACGAATAGGCTCTAATTGATATTTATTAGATTTTGATGAATTTTTACTACCTATATGTGGTAAACCAGTATTAATTTTTGATTGAATATGATTATAAAGTGATTTTCGTTTTGTTTGAGAACTATTAGGGAAATGAATTGATGAAAGTTCTTGAGAAAATCTTGCCATATTATTTTTATTATTATTATTATGTAATATATAACGGTTAGCTGCTTCATGTACTGATGAATTATATGCAAATGTTGTTGATGATACTTGATGACCATTGACTAAACTTGATTCTGGTGAACTACCGTTTGTTAATGCTGGAAGAAAATTAGAACCATCTCGTTTTGATTGATGAGGTAATCGATGTTTAGCTGTTACACTGTGTTTACCAGATGGTTTTACAGGAGGAAGATGAGTATTATACAAACGATCTTTGATTTTTGTTGCTTCATCATGAATCAACCTAATAATAAAGAAAAAAAAATCTTGTTTCATAGTATAGCTACATAACCAAGATTGAATGTCTTAATTATTACATACCATGGTTTATTAAGATATCGTTTTTCTACATCGACCATTTTATAGATATGAATTTGTTTTTTATGAAAATGATCAAACTTTGTAAACTATAAAAAATATTTATGTAATATAATCCACGTACAGAACAATGAGAGAAATATGGTAGTATGTGCATTATAAGTATGACACTGTTGAGAAGTTTTATTTGTATAGTTGTTTTTGAAGGCGTATTTTTTCTCGGTTAACAAAATTTTAGATGACATATAAATGCTGACAATGGATTATGAGTTAAATATACTGAGAAGTCATAAATGTTCTAACATTTTTTTTTTTGTAAAAACATTATTAAAAATGAAACGAAACACTTGAATAAGTAGTGCATGAGAATATTGTTCTAAGTCTTTCTTGTAAGCAATCAGCAACCGTCAGAAGTGTGTGTATGTGGAGGAGCGCATACCCTTTCCCCTGAATAATCAAAAATTTCCAGTTTCTTACATCAACTAGAACAGATTTTGTGTATATTTTATGCATGATATTATTGTAAATATTCTTTTAAACCGCTTCAATTCGCTTTACATTCGTCAATATTGGTTCCTGCGCGCAATCAATGTGCGTAATAACGAATTGACTTTTTTTTGTGCACATATTCTAGAATAATTATTCGCTTGTATGAGTTTATTTTTGTACCAAGAAAACATATTTGTTTCAGAAATATGTTTTTCTAGGTCGAACACAAGTTTTCATGAGATACTTGAAACTTATAAAAATAACAGGCAAATTAATAAGACATAAGAAGTACAAATTAGAACACACATGTGACATTGAAATTATGAAATCAATATTTGCTTTTACAAGTTATTGTTGTCTGAGATACGGAAGTTTTAGTGATTGTTTAAAGATGAGACTAAAGTTCGATATTAGTTTTGTTATTACTATTGCATCATAAAGATTCATTATGTAAAATTTGTTTCTTATTTATTAGAAAGTACAATGGTCTATAAGGAGCTAAAAAACATTTAAAATCCAAAGTTTTCCATCAATTTTTGATCGACATGTTCTCCATTTAATTTTCTCCGACGATTAGATTTTCACTATTCACTTGTTAATTTATATTTAAATATTTCAATATATTATACTTTTCAAAAACAAAAAAAAAGTTCTACGTCTTTGTCAAGTAATTATTAGTAATGTCTTAGTAAAGAATTATAACACTCGATGCAATAGAATGTTTATTCTATTTTGTCTTTCTTCTTTCCATGTAAAAAAAAATGTATATGACATTGAATACATATACAAATGTGCAGTTCAGGTGATGCTCGTTTTAATGACGAAGCAATAACAATTTACGATATTTGCATTTGGCTTAGGAATGAGAAAAATGAATATAGAAAATTTGTCACGTTGATTAACAAATAAACATATTTATCTATAAAAACGAAATTAATTACTTTCCTAGATCTAACAATGTTATTTGTAATAATGATATTTTTTTCTTTCTAATCAAACATCAATATATCTATTACGATTATGAACAATGAAAAATTATATAATATCCTTCATCATTTCTGAATATGACAATAAAAAAGAATAATGTTATAAATAGTTTTCATTCACAAGACAAAGAAAATGGCTAATTAGTTTGTTTTTTTAATTTTGTGAATATTAAGCATAAACTTTTCCTTCGATATATTTCAATAATGCTAATTCACCAGCTAATGTTTCTTTTCCACTTGGAACAATTTGATCTTCTGGTAACAAAAATCCATATTCACCTAATTATAAATAATTCAATAAGATTCTTTTTCAAATAAAAAAAAAAGATATTCTGTTTACCAGTATCACGAAGTTCTACAGCATAGCTAAATGTTATATTAGCTGTACCAGATGTCCAATCGACTGTGTTTCCTGATGCAACATAAATAGTTGCACCAATATTACCATGAACATATTCAGTACCTTGAAGAAAAAATTATTTTATATCAAAACTTTACAATTATACTCACCAAAAACAGCACGAAGTGCTTGAACAGCTTTAGCCGATCCATCATCTTGTAATTTAAATTGTACTGGTTTTTTTGTTGTATAACCTAATGAGAAAAATAATTAAGTAAAAAAGAAAAACATAAAAATAATAATTTAAATGTTAATATTGACCCCATGGTGTCATCCATAATTGTGAATAGGAATGAAAATTAATGTAATGTACTAATGTACTATTATGAGTACCAATAAATTTTGCTACTTGTGCGGTTTCAATTTCTGAAAATGGTTTACTACCACAATAAATTTCATCACATGGATCATGTGTAGCACCACCTGTACAAACATCATTAGAATCATTTACAAGAATAAATAATAAATAAATAAAAATAGTTACCTTCACACCAGTGATAATCCCAATTACGATTTGGATCAGCACCAAAACAATTAGGATCTGATGTTTTACTTCGAGTTTTACGCCATAATCGATCTAAAAGCAACATTTGTTTCCAAAAAATTCTCTATGATTTTCTACTTTACCATTGGTCCATGTATATGCATAACCATCGACATTAAAGACAGGTAAAATATAATAATCGAATTGATCGACGAAATGTGTAATTATTGGATTTTTACTATAATTTGATAAAAGAGCATGAACAATATAAATAACCGTTGCTGGACTAATCCATTCTCGAGCATGAATACCTGAAGAAAAATATTTTCAAAACAATTCTTATAGAATAAAATAACCTCATTGTTTACCTCCATCCCACCAAACAGCCTTTTTTTCATTTACTGGAGTACCATCAAGCTTAACTGCTGTTTTATTCGATGATATTTTTAAACCTTTCATTTCACGTTTTTCATATGATTTTCCAACTGTAAATGATGTTGCTAATGTTGGATATGTTTGAACCATTTTATCAATCCATGCATCAATTTCGTTAATTGGATGATACTTATCATATGCAAAATCATCAGCATATACAGATGATGGTTGTAATTTATCAATTAATTTTTGTCTTTCAATAACAGCACCAATATCTTTCATAATAACATCATATTGTATTTTCATATCATCTGATGATAAAAATTTAGCAAAACTATTAATAGATTCAGGTGCTATACTAACATCAATCTAATTAAAAGAAAGAAAGAAAGAAATATACATATATGATGACCAAAACCCTTTGACATATAAAATGTACCGGAATATTTTTACGGAACCTTTCAGACCAAAAGTTAATATTCTGTTGATATGCTATACGACTGAAATCATGTAATTTAGCGACTTGTTCATTATTTGTAACATTTAAACGCCATAATTGATATTGTGAATACGATTTGAGAGCGTAGACATTTAAATGAATAGCGGATAATAGAAAAAAAGCAACAAAATAGTGAACCAGCATTTCTATATAAGAGAAAAAAATATAAAACAGAAAGTAACCACCAATACCAATATTTATATAGGCGTCAATATCATAAAAGATATGAGAATAAAATAGATAACATTTTTCTTGTTTGCAAGTAAAAAGAAAATGCTGACGAAACACAAAAAAAATGATGGTCAGCATGATGAATAATGCATCTTAAAACAAGATCCTTGAAATATTAACACTAAAATTTACTCAATACACAAACATGATTGTGAAAACTTTCCTTTGCGTATGGTAAATCGACTGAATTGTAACTTTTTAAAGAATATCATACAGAACCAAACATAAAAGGCAACTTGGATTAATGAAAAAATTATAGTGCTGACATCTGGTGTACTAAACCTAACTATTTCCTTCACTGATTTCGTCACCAACAGTAATCACAAAAAGCCAATTAAACATGGCACTTTTTTGATTAAATTCAATAAAAATTTTGATTTTCATCGACTCTCTTTTGATAGAATCTAAGTTATCGATTAATAACCCATGTCACAAAGTTCGGGTCAGTTTTAGAGGTACACCACTATGTATGTCAAGATCAGCGGTAAACTATAATAACGCAAGAAACCATAACTTAACAGCGAATAACCGCTCACAATGACCTGTAAATCGCATATAGTAACAGACAAGGGTGAGGGTTAGTGGGTGAAACATATGAAATGTACACTACTGGCCAAAAATGTCATACCACCTCAAATCTTAATCTCTATGAAAGCAAAACGTCTGAAAATTCTTCTGCAGGTAATTGACACATAATGTAGGCCAGCGATAACATCAGCATCAAAATTTCTGAAACTAGAATGAAGTTATAATAGACGGTATACACCGCCACTGTGAATCTCGTAACTCAAGAACAGATAAACTTTTCAAGTCATCCAATCTCTCATTTTGTATGTCTGCATTGTAGCTATTTATGGCATAAGTTATATCGAAGTTCAGAAAGCTGTTGACGAACTAGACCCGTTTCGCTGACAATATGAATATGCAAAATAGAACCATAAAATACCATTGAACGATCAATAACTCAATCAGAATTTGGTGGATTAATCTTGAAACTTTTACAATGTATTTTAGAATGGTGGGTCATTGTTTTCTGAAAATTTCAGAAGGCAATACGTATCTAAACGAAAATGGCGCGTCAATGGCCATTGCGCTAGCTTGACGGGAGTCTGGCATCTCGATTACTCAAGCAAATGAGATCATCTTTTGAGCAATGAAAGATCATGAGTTGGGCTACAACTTCATGCTGAAACATCAATAATTACTCACATATTACTATAAAAACCATACATAAATCAGTAAGCCTATTTTTTGCTATTTATCTGCCAAAAGAAACAAGACAAGTTCCCAATGGTCATCGACGCACTGTTTTTGTTTAGTTAAGTATTTGCTACTGAAACTTCCATGAAACAATGGCCAACCATTCTGGAACATCTTCAACCAATCGCATTCTATGGTTTTGTTGCAAATCTATGACCTCAACCAGAGCGGTCTCGTTCGGGAATAGCTTTCTGAATATCCATATGATTTACATCCCAGCATATGTGTCCATTCTATAGAGTACAGCGTTCGGTTTGACATTAGAAAATAATTGTATAAAAGACGCATCGTTTCTATAGTTTCTTATATTTTAGAAGAAATAGAAACATTTCCACAGAACCTCACAGGTATCTATTTTCTCAACTGTATGATACACTTAAAAATCAAGCTATAAATACGACGATGAGCAGAATCTTTATGTCAAAATTAGACACTAGAAGTATTTTGTTGTACAGAAACATGCACAATACTGCTGAAAAAAATAAATTTCTACAAAGAAAATTCAGTCTATATTCAAATCAGCATTATAGGGAAATTGTTCAAAAAACAGTATTTCATTCATGCCAATTTTCGTTAGCGAAGATCAGCTGCAAAATAAGTTCGAGAAGATGTTCGAGCCCATTTTTCTCCCATGCTGAACATAGATCATAATTGACACAAGTCGTAAACAGATACCGTTCACTGATAAGACGATTCATTTAACATTCGTCAAATACAATAAAAATCCATTCAAACCCATTCGGTCAAAGCTTTGCTACTTCCTCGCCTCTTGCCAAAGCGTAAAGACCTTCGACACCTCTACATAATATATACTGGCAGCCAACACGTGCCAAAACACGTCCATCAGCAAAAACAACGATCAATGTGGCAACGTCTGAAATGCAAACAATACGACGTTGCAAAAGAAAAAAATTAAAACATCACTTGTGCGCAAAAAATAAAACGTCAAAAGCTTCTAAACAACTAGGATACCTCCATCGTCATCACTGAATAAAAAAAACACATACTTATTGATATTTCATTTGTCCAAAAAACCAACTCAAATATTAGGAAAAAACTAATGAACTGACCTATAAAATTAATTATTGTAATTGTCAAGGTTCATACACAGGTAAAACCATACGATTAGTATCCAGAAGATTCTATGAACAGGATGCTAATCTTTAAAAAAAATAGAAATATCTAAATATTGACAACCATTAA